GTCTTGTTGCCAAAGAAGACCGAAACCAAGAAAGCATAAATTCACTTCGAACATCACAAAACAAAAAAACGGCCCTTTTCAGGGCCACCAAATAAATATTTTATAAAGAATGAAAAAAATCAACCAAACATTTCAAATAAGTGACATCTTCTTCTCATTATTTTAGGCAATTAGCACATAGTCGATATTTTTCTAGACTTGAGCAGACTATTAAAAATGCATTACTTCATAATACTGTACTACTTCTTTTTTACATGATCTTCTACTATCGTTGCAATTAATCATTGCTTCAGGCATAAAGCCTTATACAAAAGACAATAAACACAACTTTATTGCTAATTCATGAAAAATAATATTTAAAAATGAAATTAAAAGTAAATATTCCGTATAGTTTGTTTCTGAAATTTTTTCATTTAAGCGCAATAAATTCCTATGCATTTCATATAGCGGTCTGTATAGAAGCCATTTTGTTTTTCCATGGATATGACTTTACATAAAAATGATCTTTGTATGACATGTGATGTTATTTGCACATTCTGTAGAGTGGAGAGATAAATAATTCTTCTCTAAAGGTTAGTATGATGTTGAAATCAAAAATGTAATTCTATTTTTAAAACTATTTTACTCTTTGTTGGTGAACTGCACCAAAGAAACACCTCTTAGCACTCTTAATTTGCCTTTGCATTAAAAATTGTAACATTGCAGAGCGAAAATATTGAATGTACAATTTTACCAAAATTATAAAAATAAATTTTGAAAATTTAAACAAATGACGTTATTTATATTATATATCTGTATCTAATGGAGTTTGAGTCAAAGACAGACTTTAAAAACAGTTCATATTCGATTACTCGTGATATAGCATTGTCAGTTTATCTGAACCTCCAGAGAAATACTTATTTGTATGAAACTAATCATCTTTTAATAAAAATATATAGGCGGATGGAATTAATTTTTGACAATGCCAGCCTGGAATTATTGTCATTATAAATGCAAAATAATAATAAAATTAAACAGAAATTCATAACTACTTTAAATTTTGTTTCGTCTTCAGTTAAAATACAAAACTATGTATGATGTCAAGCCCAATGTCGAGAGCAATACATGAGCAATTTTTCTCGTTTTTATCCACCAAAAATCAATAAACATATTCTTTTGGTCCATATTCTCCGAAATCTCAATCAACCATGAGATAAAACCGCAAGGAATTTCTCAATTTTTATTTAAATTCAAATTAAAAGTTTTTACAATGTCCCCATACAACCACTGATTCGTTGCGATTCCAGTACAGAAGGTCTCACATATTTGAGCAAAATTCAGACAATTTAAAGAAAAAAATGATTTGATTTCTACATAAATTTGAAGAGAAATGATAGATGAATTGAATTTAAACAAAAATGTCGAAAATTAATGGAAGGAAATTAAAATTATTGCAATTTAAAAATAAATTTTATTGAGATCAGAAGAAAATTTCTCGTTTAAGTAGTAATTGCAACGATTTGAAAATACAGATACCAATATTTGTATATTTTTTTCATAAATTCATTACTTCTTAATTGAACCAATGCGTTCAATCCACTTTTTATAATGATATCTTTAATAAACTTACGCAAAAACACAAAACGACTTGATCACATTTACACTATCGAAAATCGTTATAAAAGTCGTTTTAGACTAGGGGCTTTTATCTTCAAATGTATACGATTTATACTGTAAATAGTGAACTATATTGCAGAATCATCTGTAATACGCGCAAATAAATGTGCATAACTGCATATATTTGGTGTATATTTCGTGTATATTTCGTCTATGGCATGTTTTTTCATTCTCTTTTGTGCGGATCTTCTTCGATTCTGTGTAGCTATACTGTGTATGTGTGTACACTGCAGTTTGAAATACATCTTATTCACTGGTATAGGCGAGAAATTTTAATCGTATATATGATGAATAGGACGTGAATATTGTGTATAAATTTGTATGAACGAATGATGAAAGCCCCTAGGTTTTAGATCGGTGCGTTCCGAAAGGAACGGTCCCAGTCAATGTACCAAGTGACGTGCATTGTGCCACTCATACGTTTGTTTACTGTCTATAATAAAGCAAATACTCAAAGCGAAATTAAAATGGCCGACTCAGCACCAGCCCCAGCACCAGCAGCCGCTTCACCAGCAAAAGCGCCAAAAACCAAAGCTCCAAAAGCCAAGAAACCAGCATCGAAACCAACCCATGCACCAACCGCTACATTGGTCAACGACGCAATCAAAGCACTGAAAGAACGCGGTGGCTCATCCTTGCAAGCAATCAAAAAGTACATCACCGTCAACAACAAGGTTGATGCCGAAAAATTGGCTCCATTCATCAAGAAGTACTTGAAGGGTGCCGTCGAAAAGGGAACATTGGTTCAAACCAAAGGCAAAGGCGCCTCAGGTTCATTCAAATTGTCGGCCGCTGCTCTTAAACCAAAGGTCGAGAAGAAGAAGCTAGTGAAGAAGGCTGTCAAACCGGAGGAACCAAAGGCAGCAAAGAAACCAGCCGCCAAGAAAGAAGGAGCAAAGAAGAAGCCAGCAGCGAAGAAAGCCGCCGCAGGCACCGCTAAAGTAGCAAAGAAAGCCGGTACACCAAAAGTGAAATCGGTCAAACCAAAGGTGAAGGCTCCATCAAAAGCAAAAGCAGCTAAACCATCGAAACCGGCTGCAGCAAAGAAGCCAAAGGCAACTAAGCCAAAAGCAGCCAAGAAACCAGCTGCAGCAAAGAAGCCAAAGGTGGCAAAAGCACCAAAAGCTTAATTTGGTTTTAATAACGAAAGCAATTTCAAAAAACAGTCTATTTCAGGGCTAACAAATACTTTTTTTATAAAGAATTCATTAGAAAATCAAACATTATAAACATCAGTCAATCATTTTTATTTAAAAATGAATATGGTACCAATATTTTATAGGTATACGACCATGCTAAATACAAAATTTAAAAAAAATCATCATAATAAGAAGATAGAGAAAAATTATGTTTTTCTCTCTAATTAAATAAAGTCAGCCTGTGGCTAGTAAACATTGTCTACTATTAACATCTAATCGTCTAAATAACTTTAAAATTACAACGAAAAATTGTGATATTTCCAATATAGTAATAATTGTAAAGAAATAATAAATGTATCTATCTAATTGGAAGATTTTCTAAATCTAAATTGTAATTTTCTTAAATTCAGATTGCAAGTTGATATTTTCGTTTGTACGAAATGCGGTAAATATCATTGCAAAAAAAATAATGGAAATTTTGGTACCCTATTCAATTTATATTATGCTATTATTTTCTTGCAATCAATTTTTTTTTTATTGGAACATCGATTTCTCCAATATATCAAGGAAATTTGTTTTATGTGTAAATGATTTAAGATTCTTTATAAGATATTTGTTGGTAGCCCTGAAAAGGGCTGTTTTTTTTGAATTGTTTTCTTGTTCAATTTAAGCACGTTCACCACGGATACGACGGGCCAATTGGATGTCTTTTGGCATGATTGTGACACGTTTGGCGTGGATGGCGCACAAGTTTGTGTCTTCGAATAAGCCGACCAAGTAGGCTTCGCTGGCTTCTTGCAAAGCGAGAACAGCTGAGCTCTGGAAACGCAAATCGGTCTTGAAATCTTGAGCGATTTCACGAACCAACCGTTGGAATGGCAATTTGCGGATCAACAATTCAGTCGATTTTTGGTAACGACGGATTTCACGAAGAGCGACTGTTCCTGGACGATAACGATGTGGCTTCTTCACACCTCCGGTGGCTGGAGCGCTTTTACGAGCGGCTTTGGTTGCCAACTGCTTACGTGGTGCCTTTCCACCAGTTGATTTACGAGCGGTTTGCTTTGTACGGGCCATTGCTTCTTCTTTTTACTTTGACGTTTACTCAGCGAGAGTCGAACACAAAATGAATAACGGAGCACCGAACGCGCGTTCTATTTATACTATTTCACGCAGGAGAAGTGACGCTACGATCGTTCTCCTTACATCGATTGCGGTAGTGGGGATGACGCGTAAAAGGTATAAATAGAGTGCCGTTTCTGCAGTGAGTATCAGTTCGAGTTTGTCTCTCGTTGAGTAAAGAACATTTAAAAAATCTAAATCAAAATGACTGGCCGCGGTAAAGGAGGAAAAGGATTGGGAAAAGGTGGCGCAAAACGTCATCG